GTAATTTAAAGCCTTTGCACTTTGTTCTTGAGCCCACACAATTGCCTGTGGTCCTATCCCGCCAAGATTGCTCCATTTTGGCACCTATATTCATCAATCTCTTTGCAGCACCCCATTTTCTCTCCTCATCCAGGTGCCTCTTTTCTTCACCCCAGGCCCTATATTCCTCACTTGTTAGCACCAAGTCCAAGCTATTTGTCTCCTTAGCTTGCTCATCGTTTGTGCTGGTCTGCTGCTCCATGCTACATCCCTCTTTGCTTTCAGCATGGTTCCTAAGCTCCTCTATTGCTAGATTTGGGCCAACACCCTGATGCCAAATCAGGCAGATTAGCTGGGAGTATGCTGCCCCTATAGTATCTCATTGAAAACATTAGCAGGAAGTTGAGTCTGAGGGGAGAATGAAAAGAGAATACGCGCCTTCAACAATTGCGCAGAGTGGCAAGGGGGATAAAGAAGAGGGTGATGGGCAGAGAGCAAAGGGTGAGAGCAGATGATGGATGTTCCCTCAGCGCTGACAATAGAAGTGTGCAAAGACAGTCAACTCATATGCACACACCATACCAGGCTGGTAGGTTGTAGTACACCCCTTCACTTTCATGTTACTTATCATCGGCAGTCTACTCCAATGTCAACCCTGAGCAGGACAAGAGACGGCCTTGCAAGTGACTATTAATCGAGGAGGAGGGTTTTCCCTGGAAACAGTGCGTTGTCCAATTGCATGACACAGTTGATCTGGTTAGAAGCTGCCAAATGGATGCAAGGGTTGATGCCACTACTGCTAGTCTAATGTATGTTAGTGCAGACACTCAGGCATTACCTTCAATACTGCAATCTGTCACCCCCACTCGGACCCATTATGAAACATCTGGCCGAAAAGACCATGTAGATAAACAAAGATTAGAGCATGAGATAAGAACCAAGAAAGGAGTACATGTCAGTGTGCATATCTACACCCTTCAGCTCATTGAGAAACAAGCAGAAATATGCCATATAAATTACACCTAGCACAGGTGCTCTCTCATACCCAGGCAGTTTACAACAGGCCTGAGGACAGGACAAGCACTAGGACAGCAAACACTATGAACCTCATGCCATCGGTGTGCGCACCTTGACACTCTAGCTGGCAACCTTCATATGCAGGCTCGTTTTCCACAATATGATGCTCGGGGTACAGCACATAACTGCCTAGAATAAGATCACATTACCAGGTCCATGTCGCCTCAAATTATGCAACATCTTCCTCAAGTCTCAACAGGTTCATCACACCCCTTCCAAAACCCACAGTGAGCGCTGAGAAGCCTCTCTTGCAGACTTCTTGCAGGAATATATTGTGCTGATCAGCTAGATGCTCATTGTTCTGTCAGATTTCACACATAAGCCCATGCTCCCCATATGCAGTTCAGGCACTCTGTTTTATGCTCCCTAAGGTGCCTTAAGAAAGGAAGCAGACCTGGGACCTTCTCCACGGTTCAAATCTTGCCCACACTTCAGATAATGCCCACAAGCAATTAAGGTCTAGACTAGCTGCTGCTGTAAAGTTGACCTTCTTTGAGGCCTACAGTCAGATTAATTCCACACACACACAGGTATTCGAAGGGAAATCATAAATTTGTAAGTCTATTGCAATTATATATGCCCTGCAATTGTTCTTACAATGATTGCTTTACAGTCAAAATGTTGTACCCAGCAAGCTATTCACTGCTCCCACTACTGAGAAGACATGGGCTGTATATGCTCTCACTGAGCTTCGGTTTCTCTGGATGGCCATTCAAATTGCAAAGTATCCAGCAATGATAGTTGGATTGCCTCTATAGCAATTTGACCAGAAGCAAATGGCATCTTTACTTGAACTTTATGATGTCTTGCTGCTAGCACATAAATTTTCCCCTTTCCAGGCACAAATTGCTGTTTGTCAAGCTTTGCACTGCTTATATTTTCCTACTAGCAGCACTGCCTCAGTTCAAAACATGTTTTATTCCCCTGTTATGGCCTATCTCACATGCAATCTGGTGACGAATGATGAACAGTTTACTCAAGTTGTTGCTGTTCCTCCTCTTATTGCAAGAGTCCAATTCAGAATGCAGCTTCGTAGACTCCATCACATCCTATCTACTATTCCTAGCGATCTCAATGAAGAGATGTACTGTCAGCACTGGTTTGAGTAAGTGGTAAATTGATTAATAATGGGAGTTTTTATTAATCTCTTGGATTACCTAGTTTATCAGTGAAGACATTTTGTGCTATCTACCTCAAAGAAGATGGTTTATCTCCATTTGCCACAGTTTGAGACTGAATGCAAAACTTCACAGGAATTGTGTTGAAGACTCCTAGGCCGTATACTATTTCATGGCCTCAGGCCGATGTGATCAGAATTTCAGACAGGTTCATTGATCTCAGCTGCTACAAAGGGTTTCTTCTGTCCAGATTGGACATTCTAGAAACTTTCATTGAAAGCAGAGTTTTGCTTGGCCTTGATACTGCAGCTTTGAGTATCAAGACCAACTTTGATAATACAGAGGAGGATTTAGATGCCAAGACATTGGGCCATAGAGTTTTGGCTCCTTCTGCATCTACCCTGGACAACCCAGATTCAGATGCATTCATTAGAAGGGTTGTATCTGGTTCAGGTGGTCTGGGAAAAGTATGCAAGGAGGCTGTTATATAGGATACTCAGAAAGTGTTGCTACTAGACAAACCATGTTATAGTATACCATGTAGATGCTCCTTGGTATATCTACCTCATTATACTAATAGGAAAACTAACATTCTAACAATCACATTGCATTCCCTATGTATGGAATATACATATTATGCATCTTCTACTATGACATACAAGCAAAAACCTATGACATACTTGACAAGACATGTTATGGGTATGCCATGTAGGTGCTTCTCGGCAAATCCACCTTGTTATACTAATAGGAAAACCAATATTCTGATAATCAGATCATATTCCCCATGTACGGAAGATGCATATTATGCATCTTCTACTATGACATATGAACATAAACCTATGACATACTCAAAAAAACATGTTTTGAGTATGCTATGGGTGTTAGGAGACCTAATGACTGAGGATCAAGAGTTCAACTGGTTAACTGTTACTAGGACTTTATACACGCTATAGTCCTACACTGAGACTGGAGTTGTAAACTGAGCTGCTATAGCTGATAGTGATTTGAGAGTGTATACTGGTTGAAGCAAAGCTTCAGACTGAGACTAAGACTTGAATAGACAACTGAGTCTATTACTAGAGGACTGTCCCTATGAAGTGTATGTAGGGAACAAGAGGACAAAACTAAATAACAGAGTAGCCAAAGTAGTGCTACTTAAATAGGGCAGGGCAAATAGAGTTTAATAAGTATGAAACACTGAGTTGGAT